ATCTCATTGTTTGCAGGGAAGGAGCACATATTTACTTCCTGTACCATTGAATGTGACTGTATCCCAACAGGATGCATGCTATGTGAGCCATGAAGGAAGGTATTTAGCATGTATAACTAGGCAAGGAAGAAATTGTAACAGCCAGTTTATGTTCTGATTAAAGAAGGAAGAAGCCTTGCCATTGGAGAGAGGAAAATTCTAGCTGGAAGATGAAATAAATGCTTAAAGGCCTTGCAGGTGGCAGAAGGTATGCCTCTGAATTAGATCCCCAAATTGGAATAGAATAATATCTTAGAATAATCTTGGAACTGCGGAGCTGAAGGGACCCTATGGATCATAGAGTCTAGTCAAGGAGGAGCAATGGGGAATTGAACTCCCTATCTATCCCAATCTGGCTCTGCAGATTGAGTTATTTTTATATGATCTGTTTTAAATATAATGTTCCTTTTCAATAAAAGAAGATTGATCAATAATAAGGTTACATACCTGACAAAGCCCCTTGTGATATAGTGGAGATTAATTAGGTCAAACTAGAATTCAAGAGACCTGACTTCAAATACTCACTTGTAAAAATACTCACTTTATTTTGTATGATTTGTAGGCTACCTGTCTCTTGGTGAGTGGACCAAAGATGGCTCACAATGTTAAAACAAATAATACTTAAAACACAATACATTATGGATTAAAAAGCAATTCAGCTATAATAATAATTAAATATCCAATAAGTAATTTTTTAAAAAATGTAAAATTTAAACACAAACTTGGAATAGCAAAAACAAAACAAAACAAAAAAACACAAAAACCCAGCATCCAGGAATTCAGTCTGCATGATGATTAAAACCATGCATGAAGAGATGGTTCTTCAGCTGTTGACAGAAGGATAAAAGGGCGGGGGGGGGCCACCTAACCTCTTGAGAGAGAGCATTCCATAAGTAGTATAAGTCCCTTATACTACTTCCATAGCCTGGGAGCAGCCACAGAGAAGGCCTTCTCTCATCTCCCCATCAAACATGCCTGCAGTAGCAAGGGGACTAAGAGAAGGGCCTCCTCTGAAGGATGGCCAAAATGACTCATATATAAGTCAGTTCCATCTTCATGGCACACAACACACACTCCTTTAATCTTTCATGAATCCACAATCTTTCCTGTTTTTTGATAGGATGTCATCTTCTCCTCATTCAGGGCCACTGTTTTGTTTTGTTTTACTTTCTTCACAGTAAAGCCAGGCTATGTTTTGACTATATATAGATTCCGGAGCAAAGGAAGAAAAGTATGCCATGCGGTTGCAGTTCGGAAGCCTCTTAATCCGCTTCGATGAGGTATTTTTCTGATGTGTCGATCTAGCCTTTGTGTTTACAATAGCAGAAGCTTTCCAAACGAGTACAACATAGACAACACAGGCGACCATGAAGAAACAATTTTTAAAACTGCAACACCAGATGTATCTGGGACCTCTGTCCTTAGGGGTTCCGTGTGGATTTTCAAGATACAATTTTAGAATGTGTATGCATGTATATTTTAAAAAGCAAAACAAGACAGCACTCTACATGAATAGGCCCAATGCATTTCCTATCCTGGGGATTCTATAATCCAGATCAAGCTAGGGCAGAACACTGCATATACAATGTGAGAGAGATGTAACATTACGGTGTGGAATGTAACGACTCTGTATTCTTTCTTTTCTTTGCATTTTTAAACTTCAGTTGATTGCCAACATTGCTAACCATTTCTGGAATGCGTTCATTGATTTTTCAACCCCATCTTGTAAATACTGTATTGCCTTTACCAATGGATCAAAGTATTCTGCATGTTCATGGACAACTGTGCATCTAACACAATGAATTCCAACTTTCAAAAGCTAATGTCATGAACCATTTGTCCATCTTCAAGCTGCCACAAGGCTCTTGATAGTTTTGATGACAAGACATGCAATGCAGTCTTAAGTGTGTTTACTGTGAATCACATCTTAGTGAGGATTACTAGCAAATGTGCATGGAATTACATCTTAAGGCTACAGCTATGTATAACACAGGGAATCAGTAAACAGGAATTTCAAAGCATTTTATTTAAACTGAATGCACCATTTCATGTCTGGGCTGTTTTCTCCACAGAAAACTGCCTTGGAAGCTGCAAAATTTTTCTGAACAGAGAAAATATGCAGAAGGCAAACAGCATCTTAAGGATGTGGGATTTTCACCATGAAAATGGGATAGTGGAACAGATTAACTCTCTCTCTGTCCCTCTGCAGGGCCAATCTGAATTGATCCCCTGCAGTTGCTATTCAGTTTTAATGAAACTGTGCTCCTCTTGTTCAAACATCTCTAGTGCAGCCGAAGGGGTCAAACTGTATATTTAAGAGGAGATCCCTTTAAAAATCTTCTAGTGTATGTTTATATATTTTGTAATATATAAAATCTTTTGTATACCTTGCCTCAATAATCAATCCAAATAGAAACTGCAGCCAAGAAATTAAAGAAGACCGAGACTCAAAAGGGCAGCAGTGAAGGAACTCAAAAAGATCATCAAGCGTAAGGATGTGTCACTGGAGACCAAGACCAAGATAATCCACACTACTGTATATCCAGTCACTCTGTATAGGTCTGAAAGCTGGACAGGAAAGGAAGCTGACAGGGAAAAAATGATTTGTTTGAAATGTGGTGTTGGAGGAGAGCTTTGGGGATCTCTTGGACTGCCAGAAAGACGAACAAAGACGTCCCAGATCACATCAAGCCTGAACTATCTCTGGAGGTAAAAATGGTGAAATTGAGATTGCCTTACTTTCGGCATATCACAAGAAGGCAATGTTCTCTAGCAAAGACAATACTTACAGAGAAGGCTGAAGGCAGCTGGAAAAGAGGAAGACTAAATAGATATGTACAGGAACACACTTGTAGTGAAACTTTTTTCTACTTTCTGTCTGAAATTTGGTAGATCCATTGGCAAGCCTTAGCCACGTGTTGCTTGGGAACTGTCAGCCATATTTATCCCAAACCTAAATACTGACATGTTTATCTTACTCTCATTTTATTTTTTATCATTTTAGTTCCTTGTCCATTGTTCACCTTTTAGATGGTTAACTGCCCAGAATAGTGCATCTCACTAGTGGGGCAGTATATAAACAAGCAAACAAACAACCTTAGAACTCCAGAGCTGGAAGAGACCCTATGGGTCATCCAGCTCAGCCCCTGTCAAGGAGGCACAGGGAGGAATTGAACTCCCAACCTCTACAGCCATATACCTAAACCCCTGAGCTATCTAGCAGTTCTTATCCTCCACCAAATCTACCATGCAATGCCATACAGAATTGTCTTTATTTTCCACAAAGGAGTACAGTATTTTTTTCAAATTGGTGGCAGGAAAAAATACAAGGGTTTTGTGGCATCTTACAAGCTGAAATTGGTGTATGTTTCTGCGTCATTTGTATACCAAATCTAAAACTTAAACAATGTCAAATAGACAGTGAATCAAAACAATAATTTAACAAACAATAACCAACCAAGAGAGCTTATCCTAATTGGTTCTTTATTTGCCTTGAAGGATCCACATGAGTTTTGACAGCTGCTGTTTGCCTTGGGTTTCCCACTTGAAACTGGAAGCTCTATTGACCTTGCGCCAATGAGATTTTTCTCATGTAAACACCATGCCCCCTTTATGGCATGAGGGAGTAGGGCTAGGTATGGAGTTATCTCCAATATATGACCTTCCTGTGTTTCCCTGATGCCTGTGTGTGTGCGTGTGCATGAGAGAGAGAGAGAGAGAGAGAGAGAGAGAGAGAGAGAATAAAAATCTGGTGAAACAACATAGGAGCGTCTATTCAGCAGCTCACTCTGCTTGGCTGATTCTTCCTTATTTAATCTAACCTTAATCAAGTTCCTGTTCCTGTTATTATTACTATTTATTTAGTGTCATTCGTAGGCCGCCTATCTTCCGATGAGGAGACTCAAGGCGGCTAGAGGACATGAGGCGGCTTATTTAATTGGTGGTTTATTGGCTTATTATTATTGGTTTATTTTTACGAATTGGCGTAGCCGCCAACGTTGTGCAGGCACACTGGGGAGTATATACAGAATGCACGAGACCAAACTTTTCAAAAACTGGGGATTTTGCCTCCAGATGTTCGATGGAGACCCGAAATCTCCGGAGCATCTATCTTCCCCCTCAGCGGTGCTGCGGATGATTTGAGGGAGAAGGAACAGAAGAGACAAGATCCCTTTCCAGAAACGAACCGGAAGGCGGCTTCCCCAGCAAAGCTCCGCCGGCAAAAGCTGCGCGCAGTTTCGGGAAAACTTTCCCTCACGATTCGTGTGGGGATCGCAGCGAGGAGGAAAGAGCGCGAGGAGGAAGGGTGTGCGTGTGCGGGCGCGGGCGCGGAGGTAGCCAAGCACAGCGAGCCTAGCGAAGCTTTCGGGGCAGATGGCAGCCCGGGAGCGGGAAGGCCCTGTGGCGAGGCGGGCAGCCAATTGCACTGCCCGGCCGTACCAGCTCAGCCCAGCCTTTCTCCGCAGCAGCGGGCGCAGCAGCAGCGTCGTCGTCTGAAAATAAGCTCTGCCCGGGTCTTCTGGGGCGGGGGTGAGA